CACACAAACTATGAAGTAAGAAGAGAGGAATTAGGAATCAAATAGATCTATTTTTCTTTTTTAATAATCCCGAAACCCCTGTCAATTGAAAATCACAAAAGTCCTTGAGAACAAATACAGAGACAGACAATCAAATATCTGCCTTATGTGCTGGACAATAACATCACAAATGTGTACGATATTTCTTGTCAAAATATTGATTTGAAAGAGAGAGAGGTTGCTCAACCTGAATGAAAAAATATGTTCTAATTGGAAAGAAAATATTTCTCTGTCCATTTAATAAAGTCCTCTACTGACCCCACGGATTCAGTGGAAATCATTAAATCAATGGGAGACTAGCGGCATGACGACGGACAGATTCCCAAATACGATTTCTGACAGACTATATTCAGGCATGGAGGAACATGGGGCAAAAACATGGAGGAATCTGAAACAAATTGGGGCAAAATCAATGCCCACTCCGGAGTTTATTTTTGTATTGTTTGCATAAAATTGGACATAAAACCTTATTACTTGGTAGAAATGATGCAGTCAGTTGATGGGTCTCCTGGATAGGTTGGGTTAACCCCCAACTGCTGTCATCAAAATGTCGAGATATTAAAAATGAATTGACCCTTTATGAACAAAAATTGAAAAATGCCATTCAAATAAGGTCAAAAACATGAGCTATTATTAAAAAAGGGAAGAGAGTATTGCATGGATTCTTTATGTTTGTGTAATCTCTTCGCTTTAACGTTACAGGCAACTATATTAATGATCAATGCCTAATGACCCTTATGCGACGTGACCCTTATGCGTGCGACCTGTCCTTGGGTGTCATGTGACCAGCCTGGCAGGCGGAAGCACGGAAATATCATCGCAAGTGCAAGAGACTCTATATCTGTCATGCAGTGACAACTTGCCACATTGCCAGAAACAGATTACCGAACACTGACATTGCACTGTGAATGCCAGCACATGGTTCCATACTCTCTACATATGTTCCCTTCTGTTTGGGAACAACTTTATGACTCTAGAAATCGGTAAAATTGGAGCCCTAAAGCAGAGTATGGAATATCCTCAATAGTTACCAAAGTAAACACTGACATTGCACTGTGAGTGAGTGAGTGAGTTAATATTTAACGTGCCATCAGTAGTATTTCAGGCATATAGCAACACATTGCACTGTGAATGCTATCAAAAGGTTCCATGTGATGTCATACCCTCTAGATATGTTCCCTTCTGTTTGGTAACGACTTCATGGCTGTGGAAATCAGTAAAATCTGAATCTAAAAATATGGAAGAAGACTATGGAATATCTTCCATAGTTACCAAATTACACACAGACATTGCTATCACATGGTTCCATGTAAGGTCACTCTCTATACATGTTCCCAACCATCAGCAAACAAATTTCTGGCTCTTGAAATTAGTAAGAACTGACTCTAAAAGCAGGCAAAGAGTGTGGACTATCTCGAATAGTTACCAAATCAACAGAAAAACAGCTCCATCTAACACAGTCCACATGCATAATGCCACAGACATATGTGGCTGAATTCATTTACCTTACTTATTCTCAGACATGGAGCATATGGAATACTGAACCCTCCAAGACATGTAAAATCATGCAATGACTTCAAAATAGCTTCACATACAAATGCCAAGTGAATTTTAACGGTAAAACGTCTCTTCCTTAGGAAATTAAGAAGAGTTCCTTCTTGAGAGATGTGTGTGTGTTCTTGCGCCAGTGTTATTCCACTGTAATATTATTGACTGCCCAGTGCCACCTGGGGCTTTACAGTTCAGGTGCACACCTCTAATCTCCTTACTTGGTTCAGGAGCCCAATTCCTACTTGTCAACAGCTGCAGGGAGTTCTCATATATGGATTTCGCCAAATTTTAAAACATGAATTTGAATTCATATATGAACGATTTTAGTTTTGCATTTCAAAATAATGAAATTTCATAATTGGAATAATTCAAAATTTTGGTGATAGTTTTTGATAAATTTAAAAGATAAACAGCCATTATTGAATGTTTGATTTATTCGATGCAGTTTGAAACAATAGGACAAGAAATGCTCGTAGCTGATTCGTCTTGAAAACTGAGATTATCATTAATGACAAGAGAATGCTTTCTTGTTCAATTTCATGCAATGTTCACAATCCAACATCAAACAAAATTTGTAATATTTCAGGGTTGAGTTGGCTGTCACATTGTGTCCCGCACACAGACCATTTATTGATGACCTTGGTTTTTTTAACTTGAGAGAGATTAATTGGCAAAGAGATGATAATTGTAAAAAGTTCAAATTCAAAGAAATTCCTCACATGTGATCTCACATTCCGGTGCAAAAAATCATCACCTGTTTAATGAAAGGGCATATTTTCTTTTCCGATTTTTTCCTTAAAATTACAAAAATTGTCAATTTGTCCAATTCGATCATTCAATCATCTGTGAAATGCAAACTAGGTCTCTTTGTTGCGCCACAGAAAACATTCAAGAAACAAAGATTTATAATATCTAACCAATATTCATACTTACATGATGACTAAAACTGACCAAAGTATCGCGGAAAAGAACAGTCCTAGCAGTAGTGGAATTCAGACGTAATTAAGAGGTAATTCAAGGTAATTTAATGAGTGTGACTTTGGATACACAATACACCCTCTCAAAAACAGTTAAATACAAGTTAATACAATCTCGCATATAGACCTAAAATAACAGAATATCAAGTAATACTACAGTACTAAAGGTGATGGTATTCTCTGGGTTCCTTTCTATTTGACGTTTAAAAACATTTTAATCAAATTGTCTTCAAATATTTTCCATAAGTCTATATTTTAATCTGAAGTCTATATTTCAATCTGAAGTCTACATTTCAATCTAAAGCCTATATTTTAATCAAAAATTGATACAGTGTCTGAAATTAAAGTATAATGAATATTAATGTTATAAATATTAAGTTTTAAATGTTCAAAATGTCATTCATCACTGGAATGTTTTAATTACTGGAGCAGGTTTCGCTCTGTCACTTTCCTTCTTGCACTAAAATTTCAGCTGCAATGACTACGCTATTACCCACAATCCTCTGTCACAAGCCAGCTGCTCATCACAGATCGCGTTTGCCAGGGTAGAATGTAATTGCTACCCCAGGCAACAATGTTAGGTAATTTGCTTGCGATCTAAGGCTTCTGGGCTTTTTGTGGTACTCTTGATAGACTAACAGGAAAGAGGCTAAATTGACCGGAATCGCCATCCAATAAAACTAATTTGTCTGGACAAGGTAACGTACATCGTAAGATAAGATATGGTGTGATTCTGAAGGTGTAGAAATAGGACATTGTCAATGCTATGCCTTGGAGATATGTAGTCAAATTTCGCTAGTCAATCATTATCCAGAAATTTGCTTTGTATCAAGTTGTCACTTATGGAGTTACTTATTTTCCCTTAATAACCATTTCTGCTATCATCATCTCAATATGACCCTAGAGCAGGTTATTTTCAGCCATTCCGAATCGAACAGCTGGTAAATAACGCATTGCTTATTTAAAATTTGGGTGTCACGTTACAGTTATTTAACGACAACGGCCAAGGTTGTTGAATAATTGGTCACCAAACAGAGACTTATTTCAGTGACAATCCCTCGAGAAAAGGAAGCAAAGTTAGTTATGGCTTTGAGTTTCGATAATTCAATATTCATTTAAAGGAACAATGGAAACGGAAATGGATTTTTCTCTCAAATATGACACAAGGGATGGCGCAAAAGCTTGGTCTCTGCAAATGAACTAATTATTCTTCTCTGACCATTTAGAGATCTTGCTGCATTCTTGGGACAAATTATCATTTTTCGTCACAAATAATTCACAGATGGTTTTGTCTGTTATCATGTGAGTACGACACTCACAGCCTTAACTGTACAATTTAAAATATTTAATTGCAATTAGTCCTGTTGATGAGCTGTACCATGAATACATTGATATGTATGTTATCTGCCGGAAGTACCTTCAGTGCATAGGAATAAATTGTCTCTGAAACATTCCTATAGTTTCAAAAATGTTTTGCTGTTATGTCGATATGCTGTAAAACCGCATTCAAAGACAGATTCCAGTAAAAATTGCTACATCAATCTAAAATTTTGTTTAGTTGGCAAATAAGTATCTCAGTGCAAGAGAAATAGAAGTGCAAAGTTTGGGTATTTGAACACAAAAAGATAATATTTAATAAATACAAGTTTCAGTAAAAGGAACTTGCTAAAACAAAACTAGTTACTTTGAACACTCTTCCTGAACACTCCTCCAGAGGCAACAAAATGGTGAGGCATACAAGATGAGATTAAAATGCAAACTTTCTAGGTCTTTCTGAGATAAACAGTACAAAATGTACCAATATAACCCAGCTGAGTGTCAGAGGTTATGAATGTGTGAATACCGTCTGGTCGTCACACAAATCCACACAGTGTACACAGTATTATTGAATCTGTAGACATTTTTGTGATTATTAATAATTGAAGACTCAGACATATCGTATTAATAATAGTTTGGTACATCATAAAGTGAGCCGAAATTGGGTATGACGCCATATTCAATATTACTCTACTTGTACGGTGATGTGTATTTAGTGTGAGTCTCTATCTCTGTGGGGGCGGTAGGGTAGCCTAATGGTTAAAGCGTTGGCTCGTCACGCCAAAGACCCGGGTTCGAATCCCCACATGGGTACAATGTGTGAAGCCCATTTCTGGTGTCTCCCGCCGTGATGTTGCTGGAATATTGCTAAAAGCGGCGTAAAACCAAACTCAGTCAGTCAGTCCATCTCTGTGTGTGTCTGTGCTGGTGTGTGTGCATCTCATCTGTGTGTGCTTGTGTTAGTGTGTGTGTTGGTGTGTGTGAGTGAGTGAGAGTAAGAGTGTGAGTGAATGAGTGAGAGAGAGACAGAAGGAAGGAGGGGGAGAAGGGGCATGCATGGGTGGGTTGGGGTGGGGCTGTACAGGCATGCAAGTATGCACAAGCCCAGACTATTACACAGGGATCCAGATAACTTTTGGGGGTGTGGGTGTACTTACACCTCATATTGCAAATGGAGGAGTACTGAGAATTTTGACACATTTTTGTGTGAGCGAGTTGGTGATGTGGTTTGTTATTTAAAATATTAAACAAATTTGCAGCTATCAAACTCTATATTAGAGAAAAACAGGTATTTATGTGCGTACATGATACGCTTGAAATTATATATTGTGTCGTATTTCATTGATTTTTAGGCATACATTACGCCTGTACGCCCCTTATCTGTAGCCCTTATTACAGATCTTACAGTTTCAAGCCACCCCACTCACACAATATACTCCAGGCAGACCTGTCCTAGTTCCATCCCATTACTACCAAGCACCAGGCATGGAAACAACAAGTGCCATCTTTTAATACTTTCACTCATGAAGGTCCGGGTTAGAATTGATCTTCAGTAACCCATGCTTGTCATAAGAGGCGACTAACGGGATCGGGTAGCCAGGCTCTGTGACTTGGTTGACATATGTCATCGGTTCCCAACCCAATCGGTTGATCACTGGATTGTCTGGTCCAGACTCGATTAATTTACAGATTGCCATCACATAGCTGGAATATTGCTGAGTGCTGTGTAAAACTAAACTCACTAACTCATTTTAATACTTTCCGGTATGACAAGGCCACGAACCTGAACCACTGACCTTCACCTCTCCAGGCAGAAGCTAGCTCCGCACTATCACGTAGGCAGTCCCAGTAGATCATAAAGGTTAAGCCAGTCAATGTGAAATATAAATTGACAAAAGTCAGACGATCTGTTTGATAAATGAACAAGCGTGATCGGTGATAAGGAAGGGAAGTGCTGGGATACGGTGAAATATAACGTGAGGGCATCATAACGCGCACGGTGCCAGACAATAATTGCTGGGTTCACATGTATGACTGTTGATAATGGCTGTAGTTTATATCTGTCACTATGATAATGGTGAGGTTTATACCACTGACCCCACTTTACACCAATGAAATGATGATCAAATTGGACACGGAAGCAAGCAACCTCTGAGACGGGCTTGGAATGGGCTGTAAATCATTTTGTTTGGGGAATAACTTTATTTGCGTTGTCTTCTTGGAAGCCAGATAAATTGTGAAAAGTTGCTGAAAATGGAGGCAATAACATGTAGTCGCATGGGAAAAATGGAACCAATAGTCCATGTTCGAGGTTCCTCGTTTGTAAGACAACAGTTTGACAAGATACATGAAAAGTGGGTTTCAGATAACCTGTGTGTATTGTTTTTAGAAATGTTGCAGAAATGACTGAGATTGGGGCATAGGCTTCACAAATGGTAACCATGCATGGAATTGAACCCAGACCTCCAGCATTATGAGCAAATGCTTTAACAATAAGACTAACCCACATCCCTCAGTGTAGGAAGAAGAGTGAGTGAGTGAGTGACGTTAGGTTTATGCCGCACTCAGCAATATTACAGCTATATGGCAGCAGTCTGTAAATAATCGAGTCTGGACCGACAATCCAGTGATCAACAGCATGAGCATCAATCTATGCAAGTGGGAACCGATGACATGTGTCAGCCCATTCAGGGAGCCTGACCACCCGATCCAGTTAGTCGCCTCTTACGACAAGCATGGGTTACTGAAGATCAATATTCTAACCCAGATCTTCACAAGTGGTAGGAGAAAGAAAACAAACTTCACCACAAGCAAACACCTGGTCATCTGGCCTAAAAATATTCCATTGTGCTGATATTTTCACTTTGAATATTTTCCATCATTCCATCATCCACACCATAAATTCTGTTGGAGGAGATCATGGCGATCGTTTTCTGATTCCTCGGCCAGTTATCAAAAAAGTTGGGCTAAAAAATGTTTGAAAAGTTTTTCAGTTATATCACAGCCTGTCAGCTAATTGCTTGAGGAAAGCCTGACGTAAGCAGGTTGCAGACATTTACCTCGCTGATGAATCCCACAAAATGGTTATGGAACTGACAAAAATAGAACCATAATTGACTTGTAGTCTACCCAAGGGATGCAACTTTGTACAGCGAAATTGTGACACCTTGGACAACATGGCGACAAGCGCCCTCCTTCTCTTAGAATGAAACCAAGAAGGACTGGTGAATACACTCTGTTCCCATGTATTTATACCCAACATAAACTGTTCGTTGGAAAGGATCATGGCGAGGAGCGTTCACTGATTCTTCTGACAATTGTTGAAAAACTTTACAAGAGATAACAAAAGCCACTGCCACTTTGAATGCATGAACTGCGATAAAATCAGAAGGCGATGAATATGTGATATGCACTCTCCTGCAGACCACTCCACTCTGACAGTTCCAAAACAAAATGGATGGCTTATCAAAAGGGCATAATTTCTAGTATTTACCCAATCTGCAAAGACAATTGGCCATTTTTTCGGAAAATGGTAATTAGCAAACCAAGAAGTTCCAAGCAAATGGGAAGCTGGAAAAGAAGAATTTCCCTGAGGAATTAGCACAAACTTAATCTGACATTGATGCTTAAAAACAGCCATGTTTGACCTTTGTTTTACCATGACCTCTGTCAAGGAGAGGTTAATGAAATATGTGACCTTTAAAGCAGCAGATAACAATGGACCTCCACAATCCCAACAATCAAGAGCTAACAAACACCAACAACAATGTAGGCCTACCATAAACTGTCAGATTAATCTATTTTGTTGGCAAATGAGAAAAATATGGATGAGATTAACTGAGTGAAATGTCAGACTGTTTACCAAAGATGCCAATGCATGTGTTTTAAAAAGTTGAATTTCAAAACATTTCATATAATTTGCTCCAATGTTTCCCTCCTGGAATGTACAAGTTCTGGACTAAGCAGGTTAAAGCGGATGATAGGGCACTAGTGTGTCTCACAGTCCCTGAACCACATTATTTTCCCTACTGCCTTACCCTCCCTGTAATGCTAAAGCCTAAATGAGGCAAATCTAGATTTCTTCAGGTTCTGAATTTTTCATCTGACTGGGGATCCTTTTTTATTTAAATGGGTTAATTGTTACTATCATAATTATACATATTCAGGGACTAAGCATTAGTCTCCTAGGGCACCTACACACAGATACTTGACAAGTCTCAATTAACTTCCTGGGTATCCCCCCTTATTTCTGAACATTACCCCAGTGCCTGCTGTAGGTCAAAAGAGTTGGGCAAAAAATGTCGGATTGGGAAAAGTTTTACTCCAGTCCTGGCAAAGCTTATTTGAGAGAGATCACGCATGCACTGAAGTCGACTGAAATTCAAATATAAATACGTCAGACGGATTGTGTGTTTAGTCGATTCAAATGCCAACATAAGCAACTCGTGGTTTTATCATGGACCTTTATTCAGAACATCAACAACATATCACTTGAAGATCCATGGGTCCGGGTGGTCCCATGGGTACTGGGTCCTCTTAAGACCCATCCGACCCGAGTTTCCTGTCCCAGTCCAAAGGAAAACAAGTGTTCATAAACTAATTTTCCAGTTACGCTTTTCGTCATGATTGTTCAAGGATGATGGATTATGTTTAAACTTAGATCTTTTTTGATGTCTCACAAACATTGATTTTTTGCTTTCCTCTCAATCATCTGGACTTACGACAAATATCAAAAAGGGGTCAGTTTCTCTGTACAGATGAAATGAAATCAAATGACATAAGATCTTTTTATTAGAGCCAAAATTTGATATGAACTGTCTGAGTAGAGCTTTGACTCTTGAGATGACAATATCTGATTGGCTGGAGTTGAAACGTGCAATTTGCCAGAAAATTTGCGTTTTTTCCCCAACAAATGGCGTTTGAACGTGAATCAGCCCTCGAAATTCCGAGATCCATCGCGATTCTAACCATGTTTAACCATGTGATTATGTGTGGTACCAGCTTCTCCCCATTTAAGAAATCACCCCTGTCCATGTCTGAGATAATAACTGCTCCCTAGGGAGCATCCATTGCAGCTTCTTGTAATTAGAGGCATTACACGAGTTCTTGGCTTGTATCACTACTATGAGGTCACTTTGCCTCTAATTTAATTAGCCTGTAGTAACGAATTTTCAAGAGACTAAGTTGGAGCAGTGACTCCACGCACCTCTAGCTCCAAATTAGCACAACCATGCTTAATACGTCCAGCAATGGAAATGTGGGATTAATTTTCTGCCATTTGCCTTCCAACTAAGACTATTTTATTCAGTCATTGCAATTTCAATGTAAATCTTGTAAAATTGTCATCGTCTCTACCCTGAAAGACCCGCTCTGGCATTGGAATTTCTCCACTCAGCTTGATTCATCGAAGCAATTTTCTACAGTTGTTGCACCGCTCGGGATGGATAGAATCAAACATGTGAGAGGTCGGAGAATTGCCGAAACATGAGAGATTGTACACTAGCAATCCCATGACCACTTAGGCTAAAAGACAGAATTTCGATTGGAACTCTGCCACAGAACATAGGAAATTTGATTTCAAAGGAGATACCACGTTCGAAAAATTGTTCTTTGTTTGCTCTCAACTTTGAAAATCAGAATTTATTAGTTGATAAAATTTATCAATTGAATTACTCACTAATACCAGGAACATGACGCTTATGAAATCTTCAAGACGTGCGCTTAGAAAATTACTTGATGGGAAAAACATGGATCTTGTCCGTATTTGATGCCAAACCTTGCCCAAGTCAGACAGAGGCATGATAAATTGAGCAGTTAGAGGTGAGATTTGTTAGATAATGAAATGTCAGTAACATAATCATGTTGATACCATACAATATAACAAGCACTCTATCTTGTGAGTGTAAGGCATCCTTACACTACAGATGATAAGGTCACTCACAGGTCTCCCTGTAGCTCTGGTCCAACCAAACAGGAAAGTTTCTATACGCCTACCACAACTCATATGTTACAGAGTGAACTGGGCAATATTGTCGGTGAACGTTACAATCTGTTGTTACAGATGCACAATCTTTACACTGATTGAACAATATTATATAAACAATTGTTGATCGGCAAGTTTTGTGTGTGTAATTTCTGTCAGAACAGGCAGAACTCTGTCTCTTGGTACACTCCAGAAGTTCTAGCGTTTTATTGGTGTTGGAGCCACAGGCAACCATTGGCGCCAAAATGGCAAGATGCTTA